GGGAACAAAGGAGAGAAAAAAAGAAAAGGGGAAAAAAGATACAAGTCCTATAGAAAATTCTGCTTGTGTCCATATCCAGGAATACCAAAAGGGTACCTGGAGTATTGGTTTAAATTCCCCAAATCTGCTACTGTAGTGAGTGAGCTCTTTATTACATGTCAAAAGGTTTCCATAGAAACTAAATGTCAGCTGGGCGGTGGTGGCACATGCCTTTAATCCCAGCACTGGGGAGGCAGAGCCAGGCGGATCTCTGTGAGTTTGAAGCCAGCCTGGTCTATAAAGTGAGGTCCAAGGCAGCAGCCAAAACTACACAGAGAAACCCTGTCTTGAAAAAAAAAAAAAAAAACAACAAACAAAAAAAAAAAAAAAAAAAAAACAAACACAAAGCCCAGTTCACATCAGAGGAATTATATATGTGAATGCAGCAGGGGGCGGGACAGGGGTGGAGAAGAGGCGGAAGAGGGAGGAGGTCAATGGAAAAATGAAAAAAATCACCCAAAACAGAAGAAAATGCAAAGCAAATGAGAGTGGAAGACCTTGGAAAGCAGCCTTTTCCTGGTGACTCAGAAGGCCATGCTCAGAGCTCCTTCCTCACCATGCCACCATGAGCCTTCCTATGGAAAGAGGTAACATGGTGCTGACCAGTGGCTAAGGAGCTAGACTCTCCTTCACCCCAAGACCACACTCAACCACTGTCTCCTGACAACTGTGCATGCTGTCTATCCTCGCAGCATTTGCCGTACAGAAAAAGATTGTGGCACCGATGGATGTGAGTGTTCTGGGCAGTAATCACATGTTTCATTGCACATTAGTGGATCTGCACATTACATTCAAGTGAGTCTGGCACACAGCTCCATCTCCTTTACTATAATCAGAACCCAATCATTAATTACAGCATTGTCAAAAATTGTTCTTCTGGTACTAACACTTAGTAAACATTCCAAGCGGTGTTTCTTTGTGGTTAAAAAAAAATTTAATGACATCAAAGTCTGGATTTCCATTCCCACAGTTTGCTTTGGAGAGGATTTTTGTTCTTGCAGGCAAAGAATAGGATAAAAATAATCCTTAAACTAGAGGCTCAGAGTATAAGTAGACAATGATAACTCCAACGGAGGTATTAAAGTTAAATGTTGGACAAATGTGTAAATGTCCAAAAAAATGTATGTTTAATATAAAAATAATCCTGACTTCTGCTTGTTGATTAGTTACTCCACTCCCTGGAACAATTAGGTAATTAATCACTAAACTAGAAGTATTTTCTGTCCTATAACTGGGAATGTTTTGGTGTGTGGCTTGGAGAAGCCTGAGTAAACTAGAGGTGACCTTCAAATCTTCCTTTGAATAAGAATTACCATAGCATTTGATGTTTTGAAAGTGCTCCTTTCTCTCTCATTTCATCTTCACTTAACCTTGTGAAATGAAGTTGCCATCATCAGAGAGCAGAAGAAAGGAATTAATGATGTGTACCAAGGCCCCAGAACCAAGACAGGCTGGAAACCAAGTCTCTTCGGTTCCTAAGTCCCGAGTCTTGTCTTCACATTGAACCCCACATGTTTGTCAGCCTGTGGCTTCCGTCCACTGTCCTGCTCACGTTCCTTCCTTCCCCTGCATTCTCCACATGTAGACACAAGAATGCTCACGGCTGCCTCCCTGGACTGTCTGGGCCCTGGTGAATCGGGCATGTTGAGAGCAGTACCCAGCCAGCCCCCAGCTGAGCCCTCTCCAAGGCAGGTGTCTGCTTGCTGAGAGCCAATGGCAAAGCTCAATGATCTCTCCAGGAAAGCAGTAATAGGAAGAGAACAGGAAGAGTGGGGGATAAATTGCAAAGTAGCAGGCAGGTCATGTGTTGACATCAGACATTCAAAGGCTTTCTTCTGAGTTCAGAGTTTAGGAATTTGGAGAAGCCCCAAGTGCATGCTTCAGTGGTCAATCCCAGCACAAAAACCAGGCAGACAGGAGAAAGGGAGTGGGGATAGAAAAGCCTGCAGAGATGGAGGAGAAGCCAGGCTGCTGAGCCTGGCTGCCCACAATTCCAAAGCAGTGATCACATCTCTTTGTACCTAGTCGTCCCTGACCTCAGCAGCTGTCTCTTCCTGCCGAGATGGTCCCTGCCCAGTAGGACAGTCCATGGCTGCCAATGGACCAGATTGTCTCCCCTGCCCAGCTCTCAGGGGTGGGTAGCCACAATAGTGAATCATTTCTAGGGAAAAGAGCTGACAGGGATGGAATGTGCCTGGATGTCCAACATTGCCCATCTATGACCAGAAGGTCACAAGGTGACTTTCAATCTGAGATCTGGGTTGCTTAGGTGGCAACTGGCAAAGCTAAATAGCCATGTGCTGAGAGAGCATGCCTCAGTTCTATCCAAGAAGATCGGAGGTGGAGCTGAGGACACAGGAAGATCCTGAAGTCCATGACTGTGTAACTCACAGTTGAGCAGATCTTCTGCTGAGATGGGAACTACTCCCTTACATGAAGTTGAATTTAGGCCCCTGAACTCCCGGTGTGCTCTTCCAGCTGTGATTTATACCTGTACTGCTTCCCAGTGCGTGGGCTTCTCTAGTAAGTGTAGTGCATCCTGGGGACTCCTGAGCAGCCACTGGACTCTAAATACAATGCTCTTGCAAAAGCCTCCGGTGCCTCCCTGTAGGCTCCACACACTCATGTGATAAACGGGCAGATCTAAGAAAAGCTCCCAGGTATATCCATCCTTTTGAAATTTTGACACAATGTTTTCATCTACAAAACTCATGTGGGAGAATCCCACATTACAATAAAAAATAGCAAGCTTATGTTTTGAGTGTCATGGTTTGAATGTGAAATGTCCCCCATAGACGCATGTGTTTCAGTGTTTGGTTCCCACCTGCTGGGGCTGTTTAGGAAGGTTGTGGAACCTTTAAGAAGTACAGCCTGACTGAAGGAAGTGGGGGTCGGGCCTTGAGATTGTATAGCCCAACCTCACTTCCTATTCACTTCCACTTCCTGTCTGTAGAGGCAATATGGCCAACTAGCTTCCAACTCCTACTGCCTGCATCCCTTCCCTATCATGATGGAATGTGTTTCCTCCGACTGTAAGCCAGGAAAAAAAAAAATCTTCCTTCCTTCAATTGCTTATTGTCAGGAATTTTGTCACAACAATGAAAAAGGTAATTAATACAGTAAGTTAACGATGTTTGTGGTGGGCTGCATTCATAGCTATCCTTGGCCCAGGGAGCTGGCTATGGGTTGGACATGTCTGTCAGTGGGTCCATCTGTCTAGTGTCCATGGCTAGGGAAATAGAAGCGGACATGCAGGGCTGGATGGGTAACAGGTTTCACCTTTACATGGTAAAACTACACAAGAGGAGAGAGAGGTCCATCTGGGCTCTCTTTGGACCAGGACCTATGCATAAAGCCCTGTGGAGCTGTAAGATGTGTGCAGGTGAAGTTATAGGAACTGTGGAGGATGAGAGATATGAGAGGCATGGAGACAGGGCAACTGACGAGAGCTTCTGGGCTGGAAACCAAACTTTCCAGAACACCATTGAAGTGCCTGGACCAGAGATTAAATTCTGCTTACTTTCATGGTGGATGCCCGAGACTCTGAGCAAAGATTGGGCCACACTGTAGATCCCACAGAACTTAGGAGGGTCCTATTTGCTAGGCATGAGGTTGCTATGGAAACCATCTGGCTGTATTCATCTGGGCCACATGTCTCCAAACTGTGTTTTTATTTAGGTGATCCCTCCCCAGAGGTCATGGGTCAGCAAACATAACCTTCAAGTAAAAGCAGCAGGGAGACAAATAATAAGAAATCAGCAGACTCTGGCTACGTTAGGTACTTGGTATGAGGGAGTACTTGGAGGGAGGGCAGGCATTCATTCATAATGAGGAGCACTGCAAGATAGCCAGGCAGGAGGTGAGGCTGGAGCTCAGAGTGCAAGGTGGAAAGCATGAAACCCCATGCTAAGCAGAGAATATCACCCAGAGTGGAAAGTCTTGACTTTCTCCCTCCACTCTGCTCTGTAAGGGTCACATCCCACCTAAACATCAGAGCACAGGGCCCAACAGGGGAGGAGAGGCGCACTGTAACATGAGGGTTTTCATGACAATTCTGGAAGCCAGATTCTTCAAGGGTCAAAAGACCCACCCAGGCACATGGGGAACTTAGCTTAGAAAAACCCAACCTTGGCTTAATGCTATGCTGTCATCTTGAGAAACGATGTTGCTGTGCTGAGAATTGATGCTGGGGGTTCACACATGCTAGGCGAGTGCTCGATCCCCGTGCTGTATATCCCTAGGCCTCTTCTTGTTTCTCTTTTATTTGGAAACAAGATCTTACTAAGTTATGCCATCTGTCCTTGAACTCAATTTATAACCCAGGCAAGCCTTGAACATATATATGATCCTCCTGCCTCAGCCCGCACCACCAGGCCTAGGTGGAAATTCTTAGTAACTTTGTAATAAAGGGATTCATATTCTCATTTTGTACTGAATCTTATCAATGCTCTTCATAAACTGTATTGTTTGACTGATTCTCCTACATATAGAGCTCCTTTATTAAATCCAGAGTCTCTTCCTCATAAACCAAATGATAAGCCTAAGGATCTTTCAGGAATTATTTACTAATCTTGTGTTTTGGGTATTCAGTAGGTACCCAATAATCTCACATTCCTAGAATTTTCAAATGGCTCTGTTTGCTCATTAATTCATTCAACAGACATTCACAGAAGAGGAAAAAAATATACTCATAAAGTCCTTCCAATTAAAAGGTTACAGCAGGTCCCAGCAATGAACAAGACTCTCATAGAGTTGAACTTGGTTTCCAACCTCCAGTCAGACAGGTAAAACCATGACTTCAACGTGACTAAGTTTTAAAAAAGAAAAGCAAGACAGTATTTATGTGAATGTCTCATCCCAGCTCAAACACTAGCTTTAGTTCCCATTATCTGCTCTCACGGGAGCCCCGTTTGAGCTGAAGAATATGAATGCTTGACTGCCTCCTATTTCTCTCTTGACAGGCGTGAGTAACACCGAGGCACGGCAGCCAGGGAAGTCTCCCCATTTCAGTGCCAACTGGATCGTGGGCAGTGCTGACCTGGAGATCATTAACGCCACCACTGGGAAGAGGAGCTGTGGAGGCTCATCCCGGCTCTGCAAGCACGTGTTTTCTGCTCGGTGGGCACGGCTGCATGGTAGGGTAGGTCGCACCGGTCCTTTCTGGGGAGAAAACTAGCTGTGCCTGGGCTCTGGTTAAAACCCTGAGGAAAGCTCCAGGGAAATGGGACATCATTTGGTCTGCAGTAATTGTGAGAAAGGACATGCAAACTGATCCCCATGGTTACTGCCCTTTCTCCAACTAACTGCCCAGGAATTTCCTCCATGCACTTACAGCTTTGCTACCCAAATGTGGTCCTCAGAGCTTGGGGAGTGTGTCTCTGTGAAATCAAGCAACAAAAGAGCTTATTGTTGGACCAACAAAACCCTATGTCATAAGTAAGGTACATAAAGGGACTAGAGAGAAAACTCCATGGTTAAGTATACTTGCTCCTCTAGTAGAGACCAGGGCTCAGTTCCAGAAATCTCATAGCCACACACAACTGTCTGTAGCTCCAGTTTCAGGGGATCCAGTGCCCTCTTTTGGCTTCTGCAGGCACTGCCCACATATGGTACAAGTATATGTACCCAGGCCCACACACATACACATAAAATAAAATAATATAATAAATCTCTTTTAAAACATTAAAAAGAGAAAAAGATTTTATTCCAAGTTCAGATATAAACAAACTACTCCTCAGAAAGTATATAAGGACTGGCAAGCTGGCTTAGTGGATAAAAGCACTTGCTACCAAGCTTGAGGACCCAAGTTCAGTCCTCAAGACCTACACGGTAAAAGAAAAGAACTAACTTCTGCAATTTGCCTTCTGACCTTCAAATGCACATTGTGGCACGCGCGCGCACATACACACACACACACACACACACACACACACACACACACACACACACACACACGAGGAAGGAAGAAAGGAA